TATAAATAATTTTGTATTTATAATTTGTAATTATAAATAATTCATAATACAAATTATAAATAATTTTTAATTAGCACACCCTCGCGATGAACATCTATCAAATCCTGATGGATTTTTTTGCTTGGTGTTCAAGCTTCCGAGAGCAGCGAGATCATCCCCTCAGCTTTGAAATCCACTGAAAAATTGACCAGGGAAAAAAAACCAGGTGGCGCATAAAATAAACTCGCCGAGATTTTTGTGATTGATTGCTTGATTGATTGATTGATTGATCCTCAATTTCCAGATGAGGCAGAGGCATACAAATCCAACTACGTATGTATCACTCTCTCCTCTCAGTTCCGTGAAAACCATGCATTTCTTGGTATCAGATTTACTATCATTTCTTGCTAAAAGGTGAGTCGAATGATCCAAGATTGATTTCTCCATTGCTCTGCAGAGAGCCAGCATTCAACAGGCCTGGAATTGAACAAAGGAAGACCCATTTCGATGAGGGGAGGTGTGATGTGAAAAGCTTCGAGGTGCCTTTGTCGAACAGCTGCTTTGGGTTTGCTCTGGTAGCTGCAGGGTGGTGCGTAAATACCTCCGGGGTTGTAAGAAGAAATAAAAGACTCATGACAAATGATTTCATACTGATATCTGTTCCCATGGCACCCTGGGCATGTGGGAATTCTAGGACAATCACATAGGTGGGTCACTTATGGAAAATGACGTCACTAAGGTGGTCGCCATTGTGCTCGACACATTCTCACGCACGGTCCACGACATCGTGCATGACATGCTGCATCGTGCATGACATGCTGCATCGTGCATGACATGCTGCAACATCGCGACGGGCACAGTGGCTACGTTTTCCCGAATGCGATTTTCCAAATCCTCCGAGGTTGCAGAGTCGGCGGAGTGATCCGCCCGTACCGATTCGAGAACGACTATGCAACACGTGTATCCTCCACAGAATCTTTCCTGGGCGCGTGATATCCAGATATGGGGAACTTCATCGGCCATCACGGTCACCGGACCAAACAGCTCCTGATTTTTTTGTGAGGATATCTGAAGAGCAAGGTGTGCAAAACACGCCCTGCAACCTTGGAAGCTTTGGAAAATCGCATACGGGAAAAAGCAACCACTGCGCCCGTCGCGACATTGCAGCAAGTCATGCACGATGCAGCATGTCATGCGCGATGCAGCAAGTCATGCGCGTAAGAATGTGTCGAGCGCCGTGGCGGCCACCTTAGTGACGTCATTTTCCATAAGTGACCCCACCTATGTGATTGTCCTAGAATTTCCACATGCCCAGGCTGCCATGGGAATAAATATCAATATGAAGTCATTTGTCATAAGTCTTTTATTTCCTCTTAAAACCCCGGAGGTATTTATGCATCACCCTGCAAAAGTTCTCAGTTTTTTTGGCGCCAAGAGGAAGGATATCATTAGCATCGTGTGTCTGTCTCTGCTCCATCTGGAAAACAGAAACGAACGGAAAAATCTCGCCGCTTTTTTCTTTTTTAGCGCCGCTCGGGTGCGCACGTCTTCGCATGCCCCTCTGACGAAGCGAGATGCAATGAAAGTATGAGTCAGCGGTCGAAATGCCAACGTGGATAAGAGAAAAAGGCCGAATGCTACCCGACCACTTTAAGTCTCCTTTAGCGACATAACTCTTTGATATCCCACACGCAACCATGGACGGGCTAAAAGTAAAATAATTTCATCTGCTAAAAGTACCTGCGAAAATTGGTGCAGGTCCGCCTATACCTTTCTCTGGAGATAAATAACCTGTAGTTAAATAACCTGGAGATAAATAACCTGGAGATAAATACCCCGTAGATAAATAACCTGTAGATAAATAACCTGTAGTTAAATAACCTGTAGATAAATAACCTGTAGATAAATAACCTGTAGATAAATAACCTGTAGAATTTCTGCAAAAAGAAAAGATGCAATGCATGCACGCCTTCTTATTTAACAGAGCAAGGTCGTCATTTTCTCCTTCTGAAGCTTGGGAAACTGTTTCTTGCAGATAGACCACTTTGCCTTTCAGTCCTTCATATCTTAAATTAATTATTTCCAACGGTTTTCGCGTGATACACCTAGCATCATATTTCATTTCTTTGCGGTTTAATTTCACGTTTCAAACCCTTTTTCACGGGAAATGCACAAAAAAAAATTTAAGTCAAAATCACCTTCATTAAAATAAAAAATAAAAAAAAATTACAATTTTGAACAGCTCTTTCGAGTTTCATCGAATTTTTTATTATCTCCGTCCGCCCCCAGCATTTTCGATATTCCAAGGTTCAAATCCCGTTGAAAGTCAAAAGTCGCAAGATCTAATTTCTCACGCTAAATAAAATATTTAGTGCTCCCGTTAAAAGAGCTTAATATTTGAAATAAACAAAAATAAATAAATCAAATGTGATGCATGAGGAGTCCAACAAGTAAAAAAAAAAACCGCTTGAAAACTGTCTAAGCCAATCCTTAATAGGAACTTAAATAAAATCGTATTCATATTCACAAGCGCGCATTTTCCACACAATCGCATAGAGAAGCAGTACTCAAATCGTGGCCGCATGTAAGTCTTTGTTCCAAATACATAAATAAATATATTTAAATAAATACCATTGCATGGGTATTTAGGTTGACTGGATTTCTTTTTATTCTTACTAGTACTTTTTCTTTTAAATGCGGCCCGCGCAAGGCTGGCATAGAGTAATTCGCCAAATCACTCGAATGCTTCCGATCTCGTGGGCGGGCGTCGCAGGCGAGAGCGAATCTTATCGCGGCGGGGGGAGGTAAAATTGGGTTAGGTTTAATTACTGGATGATTTATGAGATTGGGGGGAGGGGGAGTGCCTCCTACTCCGATATTTCCTCAGATTGGGCGTCGTGTCGATCTGAACGCAGAACATCGAAAACTTAGAAATTGAACGGGTATTGATGCGTTCAATCGCGTCGGACGAACAAATTTCTCTTAATGTAAGCACGAAACGCATGAACGGACGAAAGGATCTCCCGCTCACCCTTGGCTTCCGGTAGCGCCGATCGAAGCTGTCGATGAGGAACGGAATCTGGAGGACGGTGAAAGGTCCCGCGATGATGAAGGCCATGAAGACGAAGCCGGCCTTGACGATCCCCATGACTAAGCAGATGACCATGGCGAGAAGCGCCGCGTGCCACGCGCTCTTCGCGAGGTGCGTCCAGACCTCCCTTCTCTCGTGGAATCTCTTCCACGCGGCGAAGTCGGCGTCGTCCATTTCGATGCACCCGCTCGGGGCATCCCTCGCTGTCTGACTCTCTCCGATGGTGCTTGCTTTCGGACGGCCGTGATACGAAGATGAAGACTCCGATAAGAAGCACGTAGGCATCATCGACTCGCACTTCCTGCCCGGAGTCCAAAAATCTCCCAACGGATGGGTTTCAATGCGCCCCCTTCCGCCACACCACTCCTCGGATGCAGCCGCTGCCAGAATGACATTCTGGCAGCGGCAAGGCTTTCCAACATTCAGCAAGGTAATGGTATATTCAGCACTATTTTCGGACGGAAAATTTTCATTTTTCAGGCTCGTGACTTGAAAAATGTGTCACACGATTTCCGATCAAATACTTTCTTTGACATTTTCTCTGTTCCTCACTTCCCCGGAAAGAAAATGTCACACGGCACCCAAAGTGAAACGAATCCTCGAATACTTTCGTTGCTATTTTCTTTGTCCGGTGGCGTAGGCAGGAAATCGGCAACGTCCCCCTCCCCTCCCTACCTCACTGTCTGTGTCAATTCAATACTTTCCTCCCGGCAAAATCCAGGAACCCTACGCCAAGCCACATCCTTCTGAAAGCACTTCTGCAAAATCCAGGGAAAGAGCGAAACTGTCCCATTTTTTCCACCAGCCGCTCTGCGATGAGTATGCCATTGAGAGGCAAGACCTCGAAAAACTCCCATTAAGACGAGCCGGATCGGTCGGAAGAGAAACACTGGCCAAAGCCATCACCAAAGCACGATTTTGAGGAACTTCGATGACGAAAACAACCAAAAGACATCAGACCATTAAAAAAATGAAAACGCGACGAACCACATTTGCTGCGTCACCTTGCGGCTCGGTGTCGTCGCCGGCTATTTTTTTTTATTCATGGTGCCTGTTGAGTTTACTGGGATGTCCTGTTGATCAACTTGAATCCAAGCGCACGCATTTCTCTAAAGCGGGAATAACTCGCGCCGACGATATACTTTTTCTTCGTTGCTGGACGAAGGCTCCATTACGCAAGGGCCTTCCTTTCATCGTGCACGAGACACGGAACATTTCAAGGTTAACGTCTGAACGGGATGAGACTTCAAATTTTCTTAAGGAATCTTGCAGACGTGGAGCAAGTCTTCTGAATTACAATTCCTGCGATATTCCCAGATTTGTAATTCAGAACTAGCCAGCTGCACCGGGCCGTCTTCGCCGACGCGCATCGCGGCACGGGAGCACCCACACCGGGGAAGCACCCACGCCGGGGAAGCACCAACACCGGGGAAGGATCCACACCGGGGAAGCACCCACACCGGGGAAGGACCATCACCGGGGAAGGATCCACACCGGGGAAGGATCCACACCGGGGAAGGACCATCACCGGGGAAGGATCCACACCGGGGAAGGATCCACACCGGGGAAGGGCCCGCGCGTGTTGATGCGTCCCAAGTGGCACGAGGACCGAACCGGAATCTCGAATACGAGTGGCTGCTGGTTCCCAATGAAGCTGGAAAATGAGCGTCGAAGAATAGAAGTACAGATGAGTGCATCACAAATCGAGTATTCATTCTTCCAAAGAAAGCTTGAAACAATCGACACCCTGTTTCACTCAGATCCTTCCCTCTCACTCGAAGATTTTTTTTTTCTTCAAATAAACGCAAAAATGCATGCGAGAATCAGAACTTTCGAATGCGGATTTTAAGGAAAGCTTCCATTCAAAATTCAAAATTAAAAACATCCTCAGGAAGTAACTTAAAATCACAAGTTTTTTTTTTTTTTTTTTGGGGGGGAGGGGCGGCTTTATTCCTTCGCCGTTGATCCATGATGATCGATCGAAAATGGTTTCACTGAAAATTTTCGATGAATTTCACTCCAATCGCCACTTTGTTGAGTTCAATAGTGCGGGGGGACTTTGATCGCCTCGTCGTAACTGGGAGGCGGTTCAGAATGGAATGTTGCAGGGAAGTCGGGCGGGAGAAGAGGAGTGTTCCAGGAGGATTCTTGCGGGTGGTCCACGCCGGACGAGAGGGTGGACAGGATCGGACCCAGGCTTGGACCGGTGGACCCTGGCTCGGGGTAAGGGGGGAGCGCATGCGTCCTGCGTGCAAGATTGCAGTGAAACGGAAGAAATCCTGGAGAATCCGTGAGAACGACCACGGCCGCATCGAGCGAAGACAAGAAAATCCAAGAGCACGACTTGAGGACGAAGGGAGGCTTCCCCTGATCCGGCTTCGGGACGATCGTCTCCAGGCGCCAGGACTTCCCCCGTATCACTCCCAGAGCATCCCAGTCCACGCGACACTTGATCCTCCTGGCTCCTCGCTCCCCCACCGCGCCCTCCTCGGCCACCTCCACGTGCCACGTCAGCCCCGTGGTCGGGATGCTCCCCTTTTCCACGAGGAGGTACGGCACGTTCGGGAGCATGTACAGCTGAGGATCCACGCCCGCGGCAAGGCACTGCAACCGGGAAAGCCGGTCCCGTAACGTAACGCCAGTAACGTGAGACAACTCAACGTCACAACCATCAACTGCAGTTCACGAATCAGCGAAGGAATCAAAATTTAAAACGAACATATTTAATATATCCCCGATTAATTTTTCCCAACATTTTCCCACAAGTCACACCTCCCATGCATCACACTGAACTCATTTTCGACTCATATCAAATTCCAAACCCTCTCAACCTGAAACCCAATTTAAAATTTAAAATTTAAAATTTAAAATTTAAATTTGGAACTTCCCATCGCATTCACATCCCCTTGCGATTCGATTCCTTCCTTCCCCTTCCCACGAGGCGCCTCCTTGGCTCCTCGACGATCTGCTGCGAGCGGGGGCGACGAGCTTGCGATATTTTGTGCTCGCCGCGAACTGTTCGTGCCCATTTTCGCCGCGACGAGTTAGTGTTACAGTTACGAGTCACAATATTTTTTCATGAGAAAACTTAAATAAATAAAAACAATAATAAAATAATAATAATAAATATATATACACATTTAATGCTTCATGTTAAACAAAATACAAAAGGGCGTAGCATATAAAATAAAACAGAAAATAAATTAAATATGATGCATGAGAGGGGTAAAAAGAAACATAGGAAATAATTAATTGGAGACATAGTAATTAAGTTGCCAGTTTTTCTCGGACGGTAAAAGGCTTTTCCCGCCGGCGCAAGGTCACAGCGATGGATCGATTAATTTCCATAATATAATAAATAATAAATACTGAAACCTAATAGGAACTTAAATAAGATTTAAGCGCGTTAATCATATTCATATAATCACACGATTCCCGCACCAATTAATTCGTAAACTAATTGAATACTTCTGCAATCGACTCCCGTCGGAATTGAGACTTTCCTCGCGGGGATAAGCCGAGGCGATCTAATCTTATCAGGCTCCGAGCGGGGTGTCGCTTGGAGGTGGGTTGTGAGGTATTCGCGTTGAGATTGTCGATCTGAACGCAGAACATCGAAAACTTAGAGATTGAACGGGTATTGATGCGTTCAATCGCGTCGGACGAATAAATTTCTCTTACTGTAAGCACGAAACGCATGAACGGACGAAAGGGATCTCCCGCTCACCCTTGGCTTCCGGTAGCGCCGATCGAAGCTGTCGATGAGGAACGGAATCTGGAGGACGGTGAAAGGTCCCACGACGAGGAAGGCCATGATGACGAAGCCGGCCTTGGGGATTCCCACGGCGAAGCAGATGATCATGGCGGAGAGCGCCATGAACCACGCGCACTTCGCGAGGTGCATCCAGACCTCCCTTCTCTCGTGGAATCTCTTCCACGCGGCGAAGTCGGCGTCGTCCATTTCGATGCACCCGCTCGGGGCATCCCTCGCTGTCTGACTCTCTCCGATGGCGCGAGTGTTTGCTTTCGTCGTGATACGACGATAAAGACTCCGATAAGAACCACGTAGGGAACATATCATCGACTCGCCCTTACCGTCTGGAGTCCAAAACCTTCCAATGGATAGGTTTCAAGCGTCATCCGAAGTATAAAGATTCCTAGAATATTTTCCTTGCTATTTCTTTGGCGATCTAGTTCTTTCCCCCTTTGCAAAATCCAGAAACCCAACGCCAAGCCACTTCCTCTTGAAAACACCACTGCAAAAATTCAGAGAAAGAGCGAAACTGTCCGATTTTTTTCCCACCAGCCTCATTCGAGAGCGCAGCAACACCCAACAGTTTCCCCTCGAAAAATTCCTATTAAGACGAACGGGATCGGTCGCAAGAGAAGCACTTACCAAAGCCATCACCGAGGCCCGATTCTATCATAAGTGGAGCTTCAATACGAAAATAACCACTCGAGAGAAAAATAAAACGCGACCAATCATACGAGACCGATTTTTGCCCGCCTTCATCCGGACTCAACATCCCACATCCCAGAACCCTCCAGCAAACGACGAACCTTCGAAGGGAGAATCGGAACGCCGTCGCCTGCAATTTTTTTTTTTACGATGTCTGTAGAGTTTACCGGGATGTCCAGTCGATCAACTTGAGGTAAAGTCAATACATTTTTGTAAAGCAGGAAAAATTCGCATCGGTTATAAATTTTTTGTTCACTGCTAGTCGAAGGCTTCTCGATGCATGGGCCTTCTTATCTTCATAGAACATTTCAGGATTTACCTCTAAACAGGATGAGACTTCACATTTTCGCGTGGAAACTTGCAGACGTGGAGCGCGTGCTCTGCATTACAATTCCAATTACAATTACAATTCCAGCGTCATTCCTGGAATTGTAATTCAGAACTCGACTCCTGCCAGCTGCACCGGGCCGCCGTCGACGACACGCAGCGCATCACGGCAGGGGAGGAGCTGGACTCGCCTACATCGGCAAGACCTCCACCAGGATCTTCAATACGAGTGGCTTCTGGTTCCCATCAAAGATGAAGGAAAATGAGCATCGGAGAATATAATTACAAATGAGTGTATCACAAATCGAGTATTCATTCTTCCAAAGGAAACTTGAAACAATCAACACTCTTGTTTTACACAAAATAACACCTCCACTGCATTTGAGGATGCTCAAACGTCTCCCAACCGAGGTGCAAGGTGCTATGAAGCGCATTTCTAGCCGAGGCATTCGTCTGCATCACGAGGATCATGCAGGGAAGACGATGGGGTAGATGTCCTCGTAGACGTCTGCAAAGTGCACATCCAGTCCCTCTTTGATGTAAGGTGCAAGATCATCAAAGTCCTTGCGGTTCTCACCCGGTAGGATGATGCAATCCACCCCGACTCTCTTGGCCTGGAACAGGTAAAGAATGCATGGACTGTGTCGCAGACGAAGACACGAGCTCGCAGAGTTGGCAGATTTTTTTACTCACAGCAATGACTTTTTCCTTGATCCCGCCGACAGGGAGGATCTTCCCGGTGAGGGAGATCTCTCCTGTCATGGAAGTGTTCTGCCTAGCTGGGACACCCATGGCCAGTGACAAGAGAGCTGTGACAATCGTGCAACCTGCGCTCGGGCCATCCTTTGGGGTCGCCCCCTGTCGATACACAGGACGAGTATAATATGCGCACACTTTAATGGCCAAGAGACAAAGTTATTCCACATTGCTTTCTAGGATTGCAGTAGAATGACATAAACATGGTTATGATTTGCTTCCACTCTGTTAAGGTTAGGTTCTTATGTCTCCAGTTTATAAACATGTCTTGCCAGTGAGAAAGAATATAACTATCCCTACTCATCCTCTCACGCAGACAGTTCATATCTGCAAGCCTTATGAAGAAACTTTTGTCAATTTCATCAGAGAAATATCCAGACTTTAAGGCTGATGCTGCCCATTCAACTAACATGTTCTCTTCTATTCTTTGCTCAATGAAAGATATGGCAGACTTGATAAATTATTAAGATGCTTTAACAAAATGAAAAGCAAATCTCATAACAGCAAAGAGAACTGAATTCAGTGGTGATTGCAATTGTGGAAGTTATTTTTTGTTTCCATAGCATAACAGTTAATCAAGATGGGGGCATGTCAAAAGAGATAGGATCTATCCACACATTTCTTTACCAGACTGCATCAGATTAAGAACAGGTATTTCTTTTTCATAACTAAACTACACATGGTCTCTGCAAGTCTCCATTGCCTTCCAACGAAAATGCACCAAACAGTCTAGAAGCTCAGAGCTGACTGACACAATGAGGAAGAGGCCAAGCAGAGAGAGATACCTCTGGAACGTGGACGTGAATGTGCTCGCGCAAGAGGAAGTCATTGTGGGCCAGCTTGGTCGCAAGGAAGGAACGAGCAAAGGTGTATGCAATCTGAACCGATTCCTTCATCACGTCTCCAAGGTGACCAGTCATTTCCAGCTTTCCTGAAAGTTTCTCACCCTCAGTTTTTTCTTTAACTGGGGTCTTCAAACACGTCTCGATGTACAGCACCGAGCCCCCTAGAGACAGAGAGAAATCTCAAACATATTAGAACAGCCCACATTAAGGTTTTGCTCAGAATTGGATTTGAAGTTCAAGTCCATTCGCAGCAAGCTCTTCAACTATCCCATGAAGGTCTATTCCAATTTAAAAACATTTCTAAAGCTCTTTTTTTTTTTTACATACTTAGAAATTTCTTCCATTCATACCATCAATCACCAAATACAGTATCTCAGGCAAACACAAAGAAGTAATCGAATGCAATAATTACATAAATATACATAAATAAGCATAATATTGATGACAATTGGAGTGTCAAGGCCTTGAAAGCCAAAAGAGATGCAATGCCATACCCATGGAAGTCCACGCAAGCCCCATCACGACCCCCGGAGGCGTGATGTCATACATGCGATCGTGGGTGAACTTGGGCTTCCCCACGTATTCCTGGAGATTCTCTGATCCAATCGACGCGCGTTCCACTTCCCCCGACACCAGCTTGAAAGCGACCTTCCTGTAGATCTACCATGACAGAGACAAGGATATCTTGAGAGCAGTTCTTTGGTGTCAGTGGTGAGAGGAATCGGATGGGTGATGGAAACCTTTTCAATGTGCTTTTGCAGATTCCTGACTCCGCTCTCTCGACAGTACGACTTGATCAAGTCGGTCAAGGCCTCTTCCTTCAGCTCCACCTGCAGAAAATTTCAACAACTCCAACTTGCAAGATGAAAAAAAAGCACCAAATCACCAAGAAAGATGGAGCGAAGCACAGACCTTTTCGATGGAGACACCGGAGTGATCCACAGCTTGGGGGATGAGATAGCGTTGAGCAATCGCTAATTTCTCCTGGGCCACGTAGCCTGACACGTCTATCATCTCCATTCGATCTCTCAGGGGCTCTGGAATCGTCTCGGTCACATTTGCCGTGCATATGAATAACACCTAACAAATTAACATATTAGACATGTGAAAAAGCAGGATGGTCAAGTTCATAAAATCGCAATCAGAGAAGTGGTTCAAAGTGGATTATGTCTGCTTAATCCTTTACTGTTTTCTTTTTAGCTGTTTAACCAGTCTCTATCCCTCATCCTTCCAAACCTAGTGCAGAGCTGGAGAAGTGTTGCATACAGAATCCAGAATTAGGGAGAGGCTTCACAACCTAATCTACAATACCATAATCCTTGTAGGCTGGACTGTAGAGAGGCTGTAAAATATACTGCATAAGTATGAACAAAGACCTCAGCCAATTGAAAGCCTATGGGTAGAAAGGATATAGAATAGGTATGGATAAGAAAGGAGGCATCAATGAAAGTGACATGCAAAGAACCCTATTAGAATGCAACACTTGGGAAATATGGCATCGCTTCCACACTTGTCCCATTGAAATTGGGAAATCAGATCAACAATAAAGCATTACTCACAAGCAAAAGGCCTCTTTTAACAGTAAAAAGAAAAGGGAAAGACGAATGCTGATTCAACGATACAACTGAGAATTCAAAATTGTGCTTTTTAAATCTAATGTCCAGAATTTTAGACACTTGGGTTTTCATACATTATTCAATTCAGTGGAACTAAGAATCCAGTTTTCAAAAAGTGTATACACACTAAATGAAACATATGAATTAATAGTAACTAATTCCAATAGATCTTTAATAGTACTGCAGTCCAAAGAATGTTACATGCAGAAAAACGTTTGGGAATAAATATAAAGGATAAAGCAGTCTTTGGTTGGACAGGAGCCTCTTCCCTCCTATCCCCATATTGGTGAAGACCCCAGATCAAACACTCTGTACATCTCCCTTCCTGACTTTGCTGGGTTGGAGTCAAACATTCAAACAGCAGAGAAGGTAAAGCATCCTAACCTTAGAGAGATCCACTGGGACATCGAGATAGTGATCCAAGAAGTTTGCATTCTGCTCGGGATCCAGGAGCTCCAGCAGCGCAGAGGCTGGATCCCCCTGATAGCCCCTAGAAGAAAATTCCACAATACAATTGTCTAGAACATTGGGAGAAAAATATTGCATAGAGGACCTTGTATAATTCCCTTACAAAGATCCATTGTCACTCCCTTCCCAACCATAATTCAAATCATGACCCCTACTTCAACAATTTTTCTCAAACATAACTTCAATCTGTCAATTTCATGCTTTAATCAAGTTCACAACAATTTTGAGGGGTGATCTCACTTTCCAATCTTATCGACCTCATCGATGAGGACGAGGGGATTCTCAGTGTGCGTCTTCTTCAGGCACTGGATCGCCTTGCCCGGCATCGCTCCCACATACGTACGCCGGTGACCCTTGATCTCGGCTACGTCGGTCATCCCGCCCACGCTGAAGCGGAAATACTGTCACGAGTGGAAAGATGATCCCATGAACAACCGTGGAGGCACTTGTAGCAAAATACGGTTGGGAAAAGAATGGGAAACCTCTCGGTTCAGGGCTCTCGCAATGGATCGGGCGATGCTCGTCTTCCCCACTCCGGGGGGTCCGTAAAAACACAGGATTCTTCCTTGTGTAGTCTTCTTCAAATTGCTCACTGCTATGAATTCTGGAAGGCACAGACAGAAATCATGTGATGCACACAATATATATATTTTAAATAAAACAAGAAGGATTGCATCTTTGTCTCTGGAAGTAGAGTCACTTCTAAACTAAAATTAAATCCATGAAAGTCAGACTAGAAGTAAAATATATGTAGGAAGACAAATGGAGAAAAATACAGACCAAGAATACGTTTCTTCACATCTTCCATCCCGTAGTGATCTTCATCCAAGATCTCGGCTGCTCTCTTCAGGTCTAGGTTCTCTTCACTGGTAGTTCCCCAAGGCAGCTGGGTCAGCCAATCCAAGTAATTCCGAGTCACACTTCGAGGAGAGAAAACGGTAGCAACGTTAAACCGAGCAGTGGAGTCGACACAGGTCCCACGAAGAAGCCCTCACTTGAATTCGGACGAGTGTGACTCGAGGAAACCAAGCTTACTCAGTTCCTCATCGATGACATCCATAACGGCCTTTGGCACGACTTTGCCCTGCAGATAAAGAGGGAAAAAAAAACATTCAGAGGGCATGACAGTGCTGGACCATATGGAAGGTCACTCAAGTAAGTAGCAAGGAAAATAATAGGCCTCCAAAACGGGAATAAAAGGAAAACTCACTTCAAGGCGCTTCCGGAACTTCTCTTCGATGGCATCCTTATCGTCTTTCTCCAACCCGAGTTCCTTCTTGATGGCCTACAGACATGAAAAACATTCCAAATTATGATTTGAGCATAGCACAGTTCACAAGCAACTCATTACAAAAGCCATGAGTTGTGTCCCATAATGCACTCAATGCAATCAAGGGAATAGCAATCCTAATTCATGTGTAACACGTTTCATATCCCACTAGAATTGTAGGGAAAGTAATTTTTAGACAGCTTTGATCATGTGCTTTTGTGAAATGATAAACAAAGCTTTAACATAAAAGAATTTCAGTAGGTTGATTCAGCTCTCAACAGCTGCATTGCCCATGTACAAGAACAAAAAGATACCAGATTCATTTCTGGATGATAGAAAAATACTTATACTCAAGTACCACAAAAGTACTAGTCATTGTTGCTACCTGCACATTGGCATGGTTCTCTTCTCAGGAAAGCAGGCAGAAAATAATGTTTACAGGTATGGAAGTGAGCTAACAATGAAAGCTTTGTGAGGATAATGGTGCCAGCAATAGTTAAAAGAAAAATGCGCAGAAATGAGAAAGAAATAAAGAGAAAATCGGGGACGAGGACGAAATGCATTGGACATACCTTGAGCTGCTCCAAGAGCATGTACTTGCGATGCTGCTGCTTCACTTTCTCCTCCACCTCCCTCCCTATTTTTTGCTGTAGCTTGCTCAACTCAAACTCTTTTTTCAGCAAGGAGAGGGCCAACAGGAGACGAGCGGGAATCTGCAGATCCATACACGACCCGATTTCATTTGGGATTTCAATAAAAATGCAGGTGATGGGTCAAAAGATTGTACCTTGGTCTCCTCGAGGACTTGCTGGAGTTCGTGCGGTTCGGCAGCCGTGAGGGCCGCACCCAGGTCGGAGAGGTAGATCGGATTGTCGACGACCCGCTGCCCGCCGTGTAGCATCTGTTGGATGCTCTCTCGGTACAGGGGATTCAGGATGATGATCTCCCGGATCGTCTTGATGATCTCTTGCGTGAGGGCCTTCACCTCCTCCGTGGTCTCAAACGGCTCATGGGTCACATTTTCCACGTTGACCATGAGGACTCCTTCAGTGCTGGGTAGGGGGATGGCTTCTTCCTCCGGCTGATGAGAGTTGTTGTTGCGCTTCCGCGACCGCCGTCGGGTGCCCTTCCCCGATTCCTCTGTGAAGAGATGCGAAGTCTTCCCCGTCATTGTCGGGAACTTCAGCTCCAGCACTTTCAATGGAAAGCGAGGCCTCAAGGAGAAAGAGTCGGGGTTTCCCCCCTCCAATTGAAATGATCTTCACCTTGACCGGATGAGAGTGGCACGATGTCCTCCAAGACCTGAGAGTCGATCCTGATGCGACGGTGGGCCATGACGATCATCCTCAGTCGGTCCCCCATGTCCTGCATCTCGTGGATCTGGACGAACGTGCCGACGTGGTAGACGTCGTTGAGACTCCCAACCACCTCGGCTTCGTTGCTGCAACATCGACGCATGATGCCCGACGACCCCATGGGTTGCAGCAGAGTCTAAAAAGGAATCTTACCTGTCTTCTCGTTTCATGAAGACTCCTGCATATGGCTGATTTAATTTTACTTTCCTCCTCAACAGATCCATCAAAGCTTTGTTTGTGACCTACACAAAAATTACCCATTGAATCAAATTATAGACAAATTCTTCACATTGGACAGCGTGTAGCATCATCCAAAGGTTGGAAGAAAAAACCCAACCTCAATGATCTTGATGAACCGTGGGAAGACCGGGTTCCTATTGACTGCAATGAGTGGCACCTGTGGAAACACCTCCGGGATGGTCATCGCCGCCGGGAGGGAATGCATCACGGGCAATTCGTCGCCTCCGTTCCCGCTCCCTTGTCCCTCCCCATTCCCACCTTCAGGATCGATCTTCTCAGCACAATACCATCTCACAGGTGCAAAGAACTTCACTTGACTGTTGAGAGAAGCCGCAAACGATGTTCTCCAGGAGAGAATGTTCACATTGCTGCTCAAGGACCTCCTGCACAAGCGTGTCCTAATCGTCGAAGCGTTCGACCCTCGACCGAAATCGCACCAGAGTCTGACTGCTCCTTTCCTCAGTAGCCTGGCAGACGCCATCGTTAGCACTCGAACTGCAGTTAGGCCTTTAAAGGGGCTAGGCCTTGCAGTGTTTCCCTTCAAACTTCATGCATGGAGCACCGGTACTGGAAGGGCATTGAAAACAACACCTAAAAAGTCTCGCGAGTCCTTATATACCAGCGAGGAAGAACAATCGCCACTCGCACACACGCCGGGAGAGCATGACGTAACACAACTAGAAGAGCTGAGAGATTTCTGGACGTCAGGGATGCTGAAATATGTTACTGTCTAACACCCGTTTTCGAATCATACTTTTGAAGGCATTCTCACTTGGGTGCTGAAACAAATAAGTACCAGGGACTTCTTAGGTACGCGTAGTTATATATACTTTCATCCTGTCTGTTCCCAACTTTGCATTCGGCATCGACAAAATTTCGGGGCTTGCATCCCTGCTGCGATGGCTGCTCACTGGAGTCGCACGTGCGTCGACTTCCTCTTGGTCGTTCCTCCATTCCCTCTCTGTCGGCTGGGGCGTGAACGTTTTGGCGGATGGCGTGTGATGTCACGTTGAGGAGTTGTTTCTTTCCGGACTTGCTGCTGAGACGAAGATGAAGGTGTTGAGCCTGCCTGTGAGGACTGGCTTCCTGCGGTTGGGCCCGGGGGCTAGGCCTAAATATAGACCACGAGGTAACTAGACGATTGCCTACGCCTTCTTTCGTTTTAAAATTCGTAAATTTGGCACAAGCTGGATTTTTAAATGACTTATGGGTGTGCATGAGAAATGCCACACTTTCTGGTTGATGAAAGGTATTAGAGAAATTAACTCTGGGTGAGAAAACTGGCTTTGATTCTGTAACTTGACTTTCATCAAGTGTAATGGAATATTTTTTTTTTTCCCCCTGGTGTTTCATTATACAGAGTTTTGGAAAATCCATGTGGGTTTAGGTCTTGTTGCAAACATTTATTTGATACTCTTCTCTGTACAATTCATCAAATCTCAGTGGAAAGAGTGGATCCAAATGGATATCCGAATGCAAATTCAGACTGTGAATCTCAGATTGCCATCCAGAATATATACTGCCACTTTGTGGCTTAGATGATGCACTAAGGGTCATAATCTTCATAAGTTCTTCCATGATTTAGGTGAACTTGAAATTCAGAATTCCCTTGTGGCTCGTATGATCCCAAGTCTCTCTGTGATAAGTTTTTTAAGGTCTTAGGGTCAGGGCTGAGTTCCGGAGACCAATGGTGGCTTCGTCATTGGCAAATTATTGGGTGAGAGAGGTAAGCCTAATTGGCAAGTGAATGACAGTTAAATTTTGTCATTTCAAGGTTTAATGGCAATAACCACTTGTTCTCTGTCCATGCATAGGCTGAATTTGGTAATTCTTTCCTTTGCCTTATTGTTAGCATTCAATTTAAATGCATTTTGAAGTGTTATGATAATTTCTGCTTTTAAAAACTTAGTCATGAGAAAAGTCATGGTCATGAGAAAAGTTCTCACCTAATCTAGGACTAGTCACATCTAGTCTGAAAAATTGGAAACTGATGAGTTTCAGGTATTCTTGGCTGGATATGATGGGGTATTGTTAATTCTCACAACAAATTGCATGTGGCATTTTCTTCAGGGAAAGAGCCAAAGACAGTGACCGGAGAAGAGCATCCTTCCTGGGTCGCAAGGAGGCGGGAGAAGGAGAAGATTTGCCGGTCCCGCTTCCGGGGGAAGATCATCAAGTTCGACTCCGAGGGGATCCCCGTGCTGTGCTACAACCACAGGCGGAACTTCCCGAAGGTGAAGTCGCTCTCCCAGCAGGGCCCCGAGGGCAACGAGAGACGCGTCGAGGCCCCCAAGACGAAGAAGGGGATCCATCCCTCCTGGGCCGCCAAGAAAGAGTTGCGGAAGAAGAAGAAAGAAGAGAGGAAACTGCAGAGAATGCAGGAAACGGGCATCATGCCCTTCCAAGGCACGAGGAAGGTGTTTCAGGATTGACTAAAGAAGTCTGTGATATGATGAATGTCTGTCCCAATTTTCATTCCTCGTAATTGTCTATGCCATTCTGTATTGTCAAATGAAGGGGGTAAAAGTGCAGACTCAGACACTGAAAGACAAACATCATTTATTGCTAGTGATGCACATACCGGTAACAACTTCCCAGGTAAAACTTTTTTCCCCATATTTTTTCTTTTCAATCACCTTTTTTTTTATTATATGGAATATTTCCCTTTTTTGTGTACTAGAAAGACATCAAGTAAGCCACAAATTTTTCCCCACCGTAATGTTCCCGGAGCTATCTTATGCCCTTTTTATTTTCCATGTGTCTTTATACCAATGGAAAACAACTTCTTGCCATCTCACATTACTATTGCTCTCCAAGTTACCCTTTTCATATACAATTGAGGTACTTGAGTCACATAAGCAGGCCAATCATGACTCATGATATTCCTCAATGTCAACCCGAAAGCAAATCATCGTCCCCTGAAAATGCAATGGAGCGTTTGGATAAACGAGAAACAATTCCTAGAGAACTTGAGTCCTGCTCAGCCCTTTTGGATTGCACATTCCACAGAGGTTCTCGTAGTCTTTCGATACCAGGATGGAGATCTCAGGTAGATTCGATGGCTCGGTTCCTCATGAACTGAAAGGTATACTACGTGCTGACTGCATATTTACCGTACTTGAGATTCCCTGAATTTTTTTTTTTTGTTCTCGATGTGCACATTTCAGGAGTCGAAGGTCTTTGCTGAATATTTCTCCTTTGGTTATTTTTGTGCGCTCGGTGATCATATTTTCCCATTGTGGCCATTTCTAATTAGTTCTCATTTTCGTGGCAATGGATGAGAACTCATATTGCAAATGAATGCTGAAAGTCGGTGATTAATTTAATCACCGGGACGCAGGAAGGTCAGGCCAATGTGCACGCTGAAGGACGAATTGGGGATAACAAATGTAATGGATGATTAAGCAAGCTTCCTCTTCCCCTCCATCGTCTCCTCGGTGATGGTCGGGCAAGCAGGGAATTTCTCATCTTGGATGCCCTTCGCAGGGACCAGTCTCGGCTTCTTGTGAGTCTTCTTGATGTAGGAGGAGACGAAGAACTGGATGAAGAGGCAGAAATAGGACGCATACATGATATTAGCCCAGACGAGATTATGGATCGGCACGTCGCAGGACGCCCCCTTGGCCATCACAACATAGAAGGCGTAGAGATTCACGAAGATCCCCATGAACATCTGGAGGATCTGAAGGACGGTGATGCCGAGTGCGATCCGGCGAAGTCCCCTGTACCCGATCGCGATGAAGGTGAAGTACGTGTACATGAAGGCATGGACCAGGTAGTTCATGTCAGCGAACCACCTCGCCGTCGACGTGCTGTCCCGATACGAGTAGAACACGTACCTGCAGGCAGGAACGAAGGTCAAGGTCTTTCTTTTCGGGTTTACTATCCACTTTGTTTCCTTCCATGACAAGCAGAGCGGAAAACATCAGAAATTGATTCATGAATATCTCTTATTATGTATCCATTGTGCTTCCAAATCCGATCATAATACACCGTGACCCTTTTCTTTTACATCGCGACTTCATCTCCCTTCTGAAGACTATACAAAAATATGCCCATATATAGGGCCGTCTCGCTCTTTTTTTTCACATTCTCGATCGTTCTGGAACTAACCGTAATATAAATAGCATTTTCGGATGTTGCCCTCACGTGTATACTTGTTTCTCTTGACAGTTCTGAAGCACTTTTCTTCCGATATCGGAATGACTCAGGAGTCAGCAATGACGAGGCGTATTTTAACACGTAAGGGTCGCCGCGTAGAGGTATAAGGTCAGTGTCGGCGTCCAGTTCCAATTATTAACTAACCAGAGGCAGGAGATAATTGAAGACCATGAAAAGAAACGAAACTTAAAAAAAAAAAGTTGAACCGGAAAGAAATCGGAGCGGTTCATCGTGGCGTTCCAGGAATTTCGGAAGAGGTCATTAACACCCTCGAAAAACTTTTTTTTTTTGTTCCAATTACCGAGTAACGAAGACAGTTACCTGAAGCTTCCATTGCCAAGAACAGTTACAGGCCAATTCAAAGGGCAATTTGACGGCACCCAATTGCTCGAGCCGCGACGACCCCGCTTTCCCTCACTTTCTCCCCCCTCACACGAGAGAACCACTCACATGAGAACCGTGGTGTGATGATACCAGTGCAGATGGACGAGGTGGGACTTGCGAAGGACGAGGAAGGCCGTGTCGCCCAGTTCGAAGATCTTGGACACGAGGAAGAGCCACCCGTAGACGGACACCGCCTCGTTCCCGTACCCCCTGCGTGCATCCGCCCATTAACCCATAAATGGCCGAGACCATAATTAGCCACAGCCATAACTGACCAAAAACACAATCAAATTCCAGGGACAATAGAAGATTCCTCTAGCCCGCGTTCGCACGCTTGTTAAAAGGATATTAAAAGCTGGAGTTCTTCCTGGTCCATCACTGAATTTTTCTTCCTTTTGAAGGTCTCACATTTTTTTTTTGGCCGGGTGAATGACCGAATATACAACTGAACCCGTCAAGAATTGAGTGACTGAATTTGGTGTTTCGATAGATTTGGTATTAGACATGATATTCGAGAGGCAACAGAGCCAATAATACTTTCGCCTTGTTCGATAGTAAAACCAAAAACATCAGCGAAGTATATATTTTTGTTATCTTCGCTGCTTTAAAATATATCATAATTATGGGACTTTCGGCGATGAAATTTCACGCAAACTCTAACCCCAAGCACGGCACGAGCGAATTTCGAACACGTCTCAACAGCAAAGCCACAGAAGCTGTGAAAGTGAGTACAACAGCACGACATAAGTGGCTGATCGCCTGCGTTGCGGTTTCTTCCCCGACGACCCCCGCCTCCTCTTCCGGCAGGCCGAGATTTCATTTCACTCCATCCCTCTCAACCGACGAATCCCATCGGAGAACAAAGGGACTCACGAATTGTCGCAGACGGAGTAATGAAACCCCTTGACGTGGAGGACATTGAACAGCTCGTGCCCGGCCCTGCAGCACCCGACGATGGAGAACAACGCCAGGAACCCATTCCACGCGATCAACGGATACCGAAGGTTGAATCCCTGCCTGTTCTTCATCGCCCTCCTCCCCACGAAGGTGAGCAGGACGTAGACAGCCGCCAACACCTGCACGTACGGCCATGCCTTCTTCGACCATTCCACCGACCACTCGTAGCTGAAATGCGTCTCCCACGGGAAGAACCAGATCGTCTCGAACCACAAGGCGGGGTCCACCGTCGCGTTCCTTCTCCAAGTCACTGCAAGCAAATCCATGACGTCATGACCATCCATATTGACGGAAGGCAAATTTGACCTCAACTGGAATTCCTTGCGACCCGGCAGACGTGAGAGCATGAAGTCGGCCTGGAACGAATGAATGTCGGCCTGGAACCAATGAATGCCGGACCGGTTCGCATGAGCCTCGAAATTCGTCGACCCCGCTCGCGACGGGGCGAACGAAGTTATCGCGGGTAACCCACATCAGGGCAGAGATGGTATCGTTCCTCCCTCCTTTTAGGGCGCCTTCGATAGCATCGTTACTACCGTGTTGTGACAAAGAGAAATGGCACGACCCTTTTCTCTCGTCTCAACATTGGCCACGAGCGGCCAATGGAGCCGACGCAGGCCATTTTTTTAAATTGCATAATTCATTAGGCGCTGTGATCTTGCATTAAATAACAAAGGACCCCTGGAAATTCCGCTTATCATCCGCCCTCTCGCCTCGTCGAAGAGCGGGCGGCACAAAGACGCCGGCAGAACGTGACACCAAAGGAACACCTGACAGATTTTGACAGGACTTTGACAGGAATCAGGACTTCGGTACCGCTAGGACGACCGTTGAACCGAAAACCGGATTGAAACGGCGCGAGGTAGAGAACAAAAAAAAAAAAAAACCAGACGGATGAGAATGGTAATTCCTCGTTTCCAGAAATCGTTCCATTGCGTGTAGCAGCTGGAGCGGCGTACGTGAGAGACTGACCCCCAGGGGATTTTCATAACGGGACCGCACGGGGAACCGGCTCCATCGTCGCGGAATCCCGGATTCCGAGTCCCGGAGTCCAAGTCCCGGAGTCCATCCTAATCCACTAATCTGGTCTACTGCTTCTGACAAGCCTTGAAAATTTTGACCTCGATATTGAACTCGAGAATAACCGGAAGAATAACCGGAAGAATAACCGGAAGAATAACCGGGAGAATGACCGGGAGGTTTAAATACCGAATGAATTCCGGGATTCCTCGCAATGCCCTATTTTCTACCGCATTCTTCTCGAAGTCGATCGATCGAAAGGACGATCGATTCTCCGAATCAGTTGGACGTGTTTCGACGACTCGAATCGATGCGATTCTGCTTCTTTCTTTGCAAAAAAATTTTGCACGAGTTTTGACTGGTGCCAATCCATTCTCGGTCCTTTAACCGGGCAAGAAGGAAGGAAAAAAAAAAGCGAAAAGGGTCGAAATCCCTCGAGAGCTCGTGAAATCGTGAAAGACAGGGCAATTTCAGGGCAATTTCTAATGAATTGACCGAGACGTGCACGGCGACACGTTCCCCTTCGAGGAATCTCTTCATCGTCACGTACGCCGAATAAGGACTTCCATTCGGCGAACAATCGCTCAAAGGCCAAATCCAGCACGGTGGTAGGTAGCGGTGGAATGTAGCCTTTGAAGAAACGCGACTTGAATGCGGAGGATCCTCGCGTCCAAGTCTCCCGCTATACTCGCAATGAGCAGCTGAAGGCACGACGCGGAAACGGGACGAGAATGAAATATGGGCAAGGAGGGAGGCAGGGATGGAGGGAGGCAGGGAGGGAGGCAGAGAAAAAAAAAAGTCACCCTCTGATCCCACGAATCTCCATAGGGCCTTCGAGAGAAAGTCCGAAGGAGCGACGTAATGAGTTTGGCTGCTCGTGAAAGTCGCTCTTCAATAGTTTCCTCCACTCGCTTCCTCTCAGGGGGTCTGAGGGAAGGAAAATTCCAATACCCAAAACGGGATGCGATTGTTTCCTCGTCGCGGCAGCCGTTTATGGGATTCCGAACGCGTTTCTCTCGGATCGAGAAGCCTTGCGCAAGTCGAAGCACGCAGGCGCCCTCGCTCCCCAGAGGAAACCCATTTGATTAATTCGAGACCCTGGCCCGAGGAAACGGTCCCCGAAGACGGAAGAAGAAAAAAATTCGCTGGAGGGGACTCGGGGTTATCGGGAAGGAACACTATGTCCGGCAGAGATTGCGTCACCACTTTCCCTTTCCCCCCGACTTTGGGCCGAGCGTCCACATGTATAAACATTGCTTTACTTGCTCCGCTTGGAATATTTCAAGACTTTTCTCTTCCTCTTCCTCTCGTGTTGCTTGGCTCCGCCCGAGTTGCATGGATCGCTCATAACCCCATCTAAGACGCACATCCTGGTTGCATGGATCGCTCACAACCCCATCTAAGCCGGACAACCTCGTTACATTGATTAGTCAAAACTCCATGTAAGCCACACATCGTCGCTGCATGTTTCGCTCGTAACTCCATCTAAGACAACCTCGTTGCATGTTTCGCTCGTAACTCCATCCAAACCAGACAACCTCATTACGTTTCGCTCATAACCCGATTCAAGCCAGACAACTTCGTTGCATGTTTCGCTCATAACCCCATCTAAAACAACTTCATTGCATGTTTCGCTCACAACTCCAAGACAACTTCATTGCATGTTTCGCTCACAACTCCAAGACAACTTCGTGGCATGTTTCGCTCATAACCCCATCTAAAACAACTTCGTGGCATGTTTCGCTCATAACCCCACCTAACACCTACATCCACCCTCACCCCCTCGCATGCCTCTCCACCGCATCCCAGACACCCTCGCCGCCTGCCTCTCATAACCTCGTCACTCAGGCAGGTGAATGCACATGCCGCGGATAAGGGATCCGCGAGTCCATTAGCGCAAAGAGCAGGAGTAACGGTCGCTTGTCCGTCCGCCCGGCCCGCAAGATAAAGCGTTACATGTTGGAGTGCAGGAAATGGTCCACGTGGGAAATACAAAAAATGTACAGGGTGGGCCAGAAAAATCAGCCGTGTGAGACGGAAGTGTTCGGGTGTCGGCGATGAGACGGCGTGAAAGCGAACCGCGGTGCTGGAAACCTTCACGCCTGTGAATTGCGCCTGGAAAATACGCCTGGAAATTCCTATATCGCCCTCTCCTCGAGAGAGTTCTCCGTTCCACATGAAAACGCGTTGAAGAATCATAAGAAGGATATAATCGGAGGACCTGAGGCCTTCTGCCCCCGGGGCTTTTACTATTCCCGCCCCTCTCTCTGCCCCCTCCCCCACTTGCCCCCTCCCCCCCCCTTATGATTGCCAGGAACGATGGACGCGACCGCCGATCGCGTGTCTCACGCTCGTCGACACAGACGTCTGGAGTAACGGTCAGGAATCCCGGCGAGCAGCAAGAACCAGACGCATGCCGCTCATTCGAAAGGTCACGTGACACTTCCGTTCGAGGGGCTCGCCTTGCGAGCCGCTGGATGAGAGCCGCTGGATTCGGGTGTGGCTTACGGGCTCCTGTCGCTTGGCACAGTTAATCCGGCCGCTTCTTTTCTTTGCGCACCCTGTGAAACCGGGGAAGCTCCGGGAGCCCCGAGGCGGACGATAAATCTGGGAAATCGGGCGAGTTTTTCAGGCGCGGTTGCGGCATCTGGATGAATCGGGAGGAGCGCTTCCTGACATCGCAGACGATGGGCAAAGAATCTCCCAGGAATCCAAAATTCCCCTGGAATCAAAACTTTACATTGTTTCACCCGAATGCGAGATTTGAAGGCTTTTACTTCCGCGAAGCGACCGTGCCGAAAGCGGCTACAAGCGGCGCTTGTTCGCCGACGAGACGCAACGATCGGTGCAAAACCGGGACTTTCCGCAAAAAATCACCGCAAAAAAAACACCGCAAAAAAATCACCGCAAGAGCGATCGTCGAGGCCTCGGCATCTCGCCGTCGGCCGGACCGAAAAGACGGGAGAGCGAACGGGACTCACTGGCGAATGAGAGGTCCGGTGTAAGTCCGTCAGGATGCGAGCATGCCGAGACCACGGAGGAGAGAAGGAGAGACGCGAGCGCAGCGAGAGCTGGACGTAGACTGACTCAAGGACGGTCCACTCCGCCGGACTAACCCCCCCCCCCCCCCCCCAGCCCCTTCCCCCCCCCCCCCCCCGGTCCCCCCCCCCCCCCCCCCCCCCCAAGCTCCTTCCCTGCCTCCCCGTCCGGTCTCGTTATTGCCTTCCCTGCGGCCGGTGGGAGAGGAGGCGTCGGGAAATCGGGGCGGTGGGGAATCGGGGATCGACGAGGTCTCTCCTGGCTTCGCTGTTTCTCCTTCGCACAGTCGGCGGATCTCGCTCCCCTACAGACTCCGTTTGCATGCATCCCCCTCGGGGGATGCGGAGACAGATGTTGGATCCCGCGTCTTCCCAATCTTTCACACGTCATTAAGGCTACGGTTCTTACTCTCGTATTTTTAGACCCACATGCAACCGCTCAAGTCGCACGTCTTCGCTTCAGATCACACCCAAAACCCCCATTTCCCACTTCTCCTTCAGCGCCCACCCACCACGCACCGCATGAAAATGCGTCCAGCCAAACCTGTCCGCGACGACCGCTCGCACTTCCGGCACTTTCGCCACCCGCCCGTGCGAGTTCGGTTTCGATCGCCATCGACGATCATTAATATCCTTAATTTCCTGTCCCATCGATCATTAATATCCTCATGCGCATAACTTATGGACAAATGAAGCAGCCGCTGGATCCCACTCGTATTCTTGTACCCGCATTTAAAATACATTAAACTCGTACAAATGAAGAATGGATCTCCCATTTCCGGGTGAGATTAAGACCCCCGCCCCGCCCCTCCCCGCCCCTTCCCCCCGGAGGGTGGAACGCAGAAGGGGGCCTTGGTTTCAAGGAGGAGAAGGTGACGAAACCGATTTCACAAAGACGATCCGAAACAGATAGAGCGAAACAGAAACCGATCGCGTGAGAAACCGAAACCTTGGGAATCGATCACGCGATTCCCATCGACAAATATTAAATATTAAATAAATTTTATACTTAACATTTCTGGGATAATCGGGGGGGAAGGCGCGAGACATCCGGTTTTCCTCTTTCAGGCGGAGTCGACTTTCGGTCGACTTGGCAAGTCGACAAGTCGACATCACAGAAACGAAAATTTACGATCTCGGCTCGTGTCGACTCGGTTGGCTGGGCAGGTAGAGTCTGTCGGTTCTCGCGACGCGAATGAAAGTGGCTGCAATAAATTCATCTTCACAATTGTCCATTATCATTTTCATTGTTTATGGCATTGGAGCGCTCACTTCCTGATAATCGTCGCTCCTGATAATCGTCGCTCCTGATAATCGCCGCCCCTGATAATCGCCGCCCCTGATAATCGTCGCTCATGATAATCGTCGCGAAAGTGTCGGAAAGAGATGGGATTTAGCAGCGCCGGCAATCGTCAGGAAGTCCTTGCCAATTTTATCTTTACGCAAAAAAAATTGCACCTGAAATTCAAGGAGATTTCCCGTAATTCCTCCAGTTTCGGTCGCTGACGAAGCGGAATGCGGGATGTCGCGGGGGAAAGTCGCGGCAGATGGCCCGCCGAGACCTTTCTCTCTCCCCGACCTTTCCCATCCTCCACTTTCTCCCGCCTGACCTTTCCCTCGCTGACCTTTCCCAGACCCCGCACCTCGCGAGGCGTCGCCGGATGCTCCGGTCGTTCTCTGGAGCCCCGCCAATCCGGCCGATTCCTCGGCCGACGTGCAGCTAGCGACATCTAGCGAAGGCAAGGAAGACACGAACTTGTGGCGTTTCCGTGACAGATGTTGGCACCGGTCGGAAAAACTTGTTACTCCTTTCTTTCGGCCATTTTTTCGAAAACATCGCGAAATTAAATAATTTAGATAATTTAGTAAATATTCCGGTTTTTATAATTTATTTATTTGAATTATTTGACGCCGTAATTTCTTATTTGAGGGGAAAAAAAAGAGGGAGAAAAAAAATCTTGATTTTTCTTCGTAATTTTTTTCGCTGGCTTTGTCACTCATCTCTGGACACTGCTTGGACGGTCTCGGATAATCTGCATCCGGGGATTCCAGACGCGCAATATTTTCGCCGAGGAGTAAAAACTACGGCGACGAATTCTCTCTCGACATTGGGGTCGTTCTCGACGACGACAGTTCCCCCCGGGAATCAAGAGATGGCGCGAGAATCTCTTCACAGACGTCAGTGCAAACGCGCCCCATCGGTTGCAAACCAGGATTTTGGCATTGCCAGCAAGTTGCCAACGTTTGCGATTTTTGTCGCAAACGCACTGGTGCATTTAAAGCTGCCAGGAGCCGAAGCTTGACGGAAGAAGTCAGAAAAATTGACACATTAACACATCAGTCTCATTCACGTCAGTCAGCATGATCCACCACAAATATTGCATACTGAGAAAAAAAAGAATTAAAAGAGCGTAAACCGATCACATTGGAGAAAATAACAAATTTCACATGTCGCCCCCCCTCCCCCCTCCCTCTCCCCCTCCCCCTCCCCCCGTTGAGGCGGATCCACCGCCTCAGTTCCTCCGACCGACTTCCCCCCACACAGCAGGGAGAATGCACTCATTCCTCGCGAGTTCAGGACCTCCCATCACTTCCTGCACGTGGTTGTCACGTGGCGTCCACGTGGTTGTCACGTGGCGTCCACGTGGTTTTCTCTCGCAGGTTTTTCGGTTGGAGTCGCATTTTCGGACCGCACTGTCCCCCACTAGTCTGTTCGCGCGAGAGGAGACGAAACGAGAAACTTTCCAGAACTCGACGAAACACCGGGACGCAGGAAGGCGAGGTCAATTATTAGCGTAATTAAAGGACGAAGAAGCTAATCGATGTGATCATCTTTCAATTTGCTGCCCGTGAAGTCGTAAGTCTTAGGCGTCGACTTCACGTCGTGAAAGCCATTGGCGGAGACCATCTTGACCATCTTGGCCCTCGCGTCCGCCTTGTGAGTCTTCTTGATGTAGGAGGAGACGAAGAACTGGACGAAGAGGAAGAAATAGGACGCATACATGGCGCTGGCCCAGAAGAGATTCTGGCTCGGGACCTGGCAGGCGTATCCCGCGACCTTCGCGTACACGGCGTAGAAATTCACGAAGATCCCCATGAACATCTGGAGGATCTGGAGGACGGTGATGCCGAACGCGACCCGGCGAAGTCCCCTGTACCCGATCGCGATGAACGTGAAGTACGTGTACATGAAGGCATGAACCAAGTAGTTCATGTCGGCGAACCACCTCGCCGTCGACGTCCCGTACCGATACGAGTAGAACACGTACCTGCGACGGTAAAAAAAAAGGAGAAAAACAGATTTAAAATCCCATCGCTTCTCTTTCTCTCAGATTCCTGGAAAGTGAATGCAAAACGTTGGCGATTTTATATCTGATTGGAAATAAAGTTCTCGGAATTTCATAAACAATTATTACAACCCAGTTTATTTAAAAGCAAAATCATCTCAATCATGAAT